TCAGGCTATGGTAATTGTTTCCTCTTTTTTAGGAATTTTTCAGCAGAAACTGAAGTACCTCCATTGTAGGGTTTCTGGCATCCTGATTAGTCACACCTTGAAACAGTGATAACCAGAATTTAGTGAGCATTTTCTAGGCTCCAGATACTTTCTTTAGAATTTTGTGTAATACTCCCAAAGATTCTGTAAAACAAATACTGCTCCCAATGCTTAAGCATTAAGAACTGAAGCTCAGAGTGGTTAAGAAACGCACCCAGGGGCACAATCAAGAGGAAATGGCAGAATTAAAATGTGGACGCAAATTTGTTTGGGTCTGAATCCTGTGTTCTCTTCATTGTATTGAGTATCTTGCCTCCTTGGGGAGAGAGGATAACTGGGCTCTGTTTGTTACAAGTGAATAGATCTAGAGATGTTCTTGGAGCAGGAGTCTGGGAGGTGGAGATGTGAACCTGAAACACTGAAGCAGCTCACCCTGCAGGCTCTAGCAGATAGCACGTGGCAGGTGTGTGGACCAATTCAGAGCTTCTTTCATCATTAGTTGTGTAACCTCTTTGAGATATTAAAATAATATCTTAAATTCCCATCCCATTCACATCTCTTATGGCTGTTGTCCCAATCCTATTATTTAGGAACTTAATAATTTATAATAGCTTGGTCTTTTAAAATTGTCAAAAACTCTAATAAAATAGGAATATTTCACACATGCACAGACCCAACTCTGTGGACACCCAAAGGCTAGATCTTAAATTGTGTCCTATCATCACTGAAGAGGTAAAAATCTAAACTGTTGAAAAGCACAGTGCAAATATGAATTCCAATCAATCCTTGACTGTGCAACCTATAAGAAAAATCACTATTCTACTTATTATCTGTATCTATTAATAGTCTTCAATTGTAATGATAAGGCAGACATTTCAAATTGTTAGGCTGATAACTGATAAAATGTTAAATTATTGTTCTTTTTGGACAATGTAAATTCATTTCTGAAAAGGTACAAATCTCTAAGTTCATTTCCTTAAATTCTAGGGCCTTTAAGAAAGGTAGACAATGTAGGAATAAGCAGCTGTAATTTTTTTTTAAAGGCTACTGTTCCTTTAATGCCCAGCTGGTTCTGAGATGTAATAAAATTGACATATTGATTCCTTTGAATTTACAAATGCCTGTTTCATAAACTCCATCTCCAAAGCCTAGGCATCTTTAGAGCACTGTCATTTTTTTTCTCCAAATGGATCAATTATGTGCCCACGTAATCCTGTTACCTGTGAAATCCATGCATACTTCTCCCATTTGCTGCAGTTCCCAGGCGGACAAACTTGCATTATGTACGCATAAACAAACAGCGCATTTTCCTGATATTAGAGATTGTTTTCAAAGTGAAAGGCAATCTCTTGGGTCCTTTACTCAGAAAAAAAAAAAGAAAGAAAAAGAAAAAAAAAGGAAAAACTGCCTATTCAAGAAGTAACTCAATATATACATACACATATACTATCACCTGTCTACATATGTATTTATATTGACCACTCTGAACATTTCATTTAAATCACACAGTGTTGCTATGTTCAGTCCTTGAGCTGCTCCAAGCAAGGAACTCCTTCATTTTAGTTAAATTATGCTATGCAAGTTTATCACATTTTTTATTGCTATCTTTTCTCCTTTGTTGATAATTAGTTATTTAAGGGCAAATCATCCCCAAGACACCTTGAAACAATTGAGAAATGAAAATCCAAAGTGAATTAGGTTATAAAGTTTGCAGCTGTCTTATGGAAAGAAAAGTCTTCAGTATTTTTCACTGCAGCACTTGACACTCTCTGGCTCTGACTCTTTCTTAAACACACACAGAGTCCTTTATTGAAACAATTATAGAAAACAAAAAGATTCTGCTTCTACTACATTAGGAGGGAAATGCCTCAGAGGAGGCCTTTCCCATGTCTTAAATCAGTAACAGCAAATTGTCTTCTCATATACGCATGTTTACGTGTTCACATGTAGACACACCTACCACTACAAAATGCAGAAAGAAAGCTTATGTACAAATATATATGCTTAGACTGTGGCTGTAGAATCCCCTGAAAATAACCCACAAGCAAACATGCTTTTGTCTATGTGTGAACTCTCTGTGTGAGCAAAGTATTGTGCATGTTCTGCACAGAGATATGAATTCTTGCTTCATTCTTTCAGCCTGTGCTGTATCTGATTTTCCTCACTTCACTGGGCACCCAGCAGTCCAGTTACACTGCACTTGTACTCTACAATTTGTCTCTAAGAGATTCCCCAAATCACAGAATGTCTTGTCTGCTGTCCAACGTGCTCCCCATATGCAGAAAAGATGGTCTGAAAAATTGGGTTGTGCTTGGAGCCCTGTGGCCTGGCCCACCGCTGCCATTGTGTAGGAGTGGTTTTAAAGATAAATGGCTGCATGTTAACCAGATTTGACATGCTGTACAAAGGCAGGCACCTTTGGTCCCATGACACAGCCAAACAGAAAACACAACAAGCAAGCCTGGCAAAGATGTCCGATATGAATAAAAGCACAACAATTTGTCACATAGTTGCTACAAAATGTTAGCAGCTTTAGGGCTTGCCATGGGATGGCAGAGATAAGGCAGTGGAGAATTTAGAAGTTTGAGGATTGGTGAGTCTTAGGTAATGGAAGAGTTAATTCAGAAAAGGGGGAAAATAGTCATCGGAAAGGGATTATTTTCATCTGCTTCCTCATAAGGCCGAAGAAGGCCTTAATGTCATGAATTTAATCAGCAAGGCCAGTGTTCCAGGGTTTACTAAATTCCACTGTTTTGAAGGGCTGTCTGTTAACCATCTCTTTGCAAGCTCCCAAAGAGGTAACATATTCTAGGATTAGTTTCTTGAGGATCAACAACCATTTTTTTATTTTCTTTTTCCAAACTGACATAGTGATGAAAGAAAGAATAAATGTTGAGGATAAACATTCTTACACCCTACTTAGTCTCACTATTCACCCATAGAAACAGAATCAAATGCTGGGGTTTCTTTTCCAAATGTCCTTCAAGTCAATGATCATTATTGCCAGTGTTGCCTGTAACTCTAGAAATTCCATAATTGCTGTAACACTTCATCGTAGACTTTCTTCCTGACTCCAGGCTCATGCCCCTTTTAAACCTCAATTTCCTCATCAGTAAAAATAGTATTAAAATAATAGTACCCATTTCACAGTATTATTGTCAGGGCGACATCAGATGACAGGCAAAATTCTTAGCACAGGTCCCAGCATATTGTTTAAGTACTCAGCAAACGTTAGATAATATCATCTTTCATACAGTTGCCAGAGACATGTCACTGAAACGCAGATATGATTATGTCACTCTTCTTTAAAACATGGTTTGCAAGCTCACCATCACCTATTTACTGGATACAAGCCAAAAATGTGGGATAGGAGATTCTTCTGCTCCCTGACCACCTTTGCAGACTCAAATCAAGCTCATCCTCTTTGCTCATGCCCTGTGTTTTACACATCTCAGTCGGCTGACAATGCCTGCACTGTTCACACTTCCTCCTGGGTTGTACCTGCCATCCTCTCAGCCCAGCGTGCCGTGCCCTCTCAGCCCAGCGTGCTGGCGAAATCCATGTCCTATGACAACAGTTGCCTCAAAAGCCACCTCTGCCATGAAGTCTCCCCTCACTACCTGCTCCCAGATCTAGCTGTGCCATTCTCTGTACTCTCTCTGTACTGGGTACAAAGTTCTTCATGCACTTATCACATTTTCATCATTTCTTAAATGCACCCCCATTTCCCACTACACAGCAAGCTTCTCAGGGGCCCAGTCTCTAGCATCCATTTTTTGATCACAGCCTCAGCTGCAGAGCCTGTACATAGTAGGTATATAATTAATGCAAAGTGAACAAACACTACAGTTTTCTGCTGACATACCAGAGAAAGACCTAGAAAGGACCTGATGACATACTTTTCAATTACTGTTGCAATGAGAAGAATTTTCTTTTTCTTACAATGCAAAGCTCTGATCACCCTCAGGAATAAAGGTGAAGGAGCCCTGAGAAGAAAAAGAAAATGTGCATTTTTCTTTCATGAATCTGACATCAGCTTCAAAGAGGTGATGCTTGTAATAATAGCAGAATGAATTGAGTTAAGCTCACATGGCAAACTTTGAAACAAAAAAGGACTTTAAAAAAAATGCCAATCTAATGCTGGGATAGGCATGTAGTCCAGGCCTTTTCTGACAATCCTGATGACCCTGTAAGAGTACAGAGATGACACTTGGCGGGGGGAGCTTGTATAAAAAGACACTGTCATTCTGAACATATATATAACATTGGTGGAATCTCCCAAGTAACGCCACATTGTCCTGCTAAGCTCATAGGGCACTACGAACCAAACGTAAAGAGGTAAGAGTTCTACTGAAAATATTTCAAGAGGTAGGAAGATCCTGGTGCTCTATTGACGTCTGTGATTCTCTAACCCTCGTGACCCCTTGCAAACTCAGAACTAGTGCAGCCTGGAGCATGTCACAATACCTTCCCCATCCCATCACTCTGCTGAAATTTGAGCCAAGTCTCATGTGTTTGCAGTTCTTATGTTTACAGGTCCTGAAGGTAACCCAGGAAGCCATACTTTGATGAAGTCTGCACCCACCCCCGCTGAAGGTGAAGTTACTGCTGGAATATGAAATCGTCGTCATCACAGTTAGTGGGAGGCAAGAGCTGGTGAAAAGAGAGGGATCATGGAGTTAACTGGTGATCTTTCTGTTTCCTCCATTTATAGGTCTCATTTTATTTCTACTTGTAATATTAAACGGGAAACAGATTTAAAAATGAGAGAAATGATGGCATGCCACTTGGAACAACCAGCTGAGCTGTCACCTCTAAATTACACTTTTTATTTGTATCCTAAAAACGATCAGGAAGGGTCATGAGGGAAGGCACAATACCAGGCCTGAAATCAGAGGATAGCAAGATACTTTCAGAGATCCCTTGAGCTCGGGAATCTTGAGGCTGCCGTGAGCTAGGATGGTGCCACTGCACTCTAGTCTGAACCACAGAGTGGGACCCTGTCTCTAAAAATGGATGAATGAATGCATAGAGACACTCCCAGAGATAAAGTATTCCTTATTTTTCACCTCTCTCCCCAAAATGTCAGTAATAACCAAAAACATGACTTCAGAGTGAAATGAAATTATTGATTTCTGCCTGAAACAGAAAAAAACATGTAGAATATTTTACATGAGAGAGTTTGATTATCAGATTGATCTGCCACAATTAAATAAACATATTCTTAGGATGAGCTTTATATGGAGAGATCATTTTGCAGAATGCCAAACACAGAAGACAATGCTTAAAAAGCTCCACAAAGTCTCTTCACTCCAGTAGTATCAAGCCAGATACTCAAACCCCATCTTCTCAATTCATTATTACAATATTTTTAATTCATATTGTTCAGAGGGCCAGAATAAGCACCAGAAAGTTATATTTCTTCAATTAAGAGGAGATTTTAAAAGCCTAGTAGTTTAATAGTAAAAATATAGAAATAATTTTTAACTAGTATCTAATCTATAAATATACTCATGTGCTAATAGAATGCTTGAAATATGTTAAGTTGATACTATAATGTTTTAAATTATAGAAATTGTAGAAAATTGCAGATGTAACTTTTGTTGAAAGGAACGATGACATTGAAAAACAGTGAATTTCTGGAAACATTTTTCCTAGTGATAACTTTATTAACTGGTTTTAGATGTTTCTAGAGGGAATAACAAAGTTACAGTTTAAGATTCTAAGGAAAATATCAGCCTTATTATAAATTTTCTGTTTCTTCCTTAAACTTTAAAAATTTATTCTCAAGTATTTATTGGATAGGTTAATAGTCATTTTGTTTGTACTGCCTATACCATGAAAAGATTTCCCTCCAGGTCTGTATCTTATTGACGGGAGCATTTCACAGTCAAACAAATCCCAGTTAGTCAGATGTTCAGGTGTACAATTCTGACCCATGTAACAATTTTAGGCTTGCAATTTGTGTTGTTATATTTCTTAATCTAGGTCTAAAATATGTGCAGCATTGCTTTTAGAAAGTAAAAAACTGATGGATTGTGCCATCTATGGCAGCATTTGTTCAGCATTTGGTACGAATGGGAGAAAAAAGATACAGAATGCATGGATTGATTTTCAAATTACCTCAATATTTTGAAAACATTTTCACCTGCATGCTGAGAATGCTAAGAATGGCAAGGAAGGCAATTGTGCATTTGCACAGCCTCCACTGCATTCATTTATAAATTACCTCATCACTGACTGAAATTAACACTGATTCTTACAGGCAATTTCTCAATTTCCAATGCTAATTACATTTTTTTTACTTTTAAATTCTGTACCACCTGTTTTGGGCAAGACATCTTAGGCAGCGCGACCGCATTTAATCACAATTTTAATTAACCGCCCTGTAGATGTGAAAAAGAAGCAATTATAATGTAGATGAATGATGATTTTTCTGCATTAAATTGTTTTGTTTCCCTGGTATGTTGATTGTAACACAGCACACAAATACAGTAACTGTACAATTTTTTTCTATTGTAATTTAGTAATTGTTTTTGGAAAACCAGTTTGGGAATGAGTGACTTCATCTGTTTACAAATTGATTGATACTGTTCACTCACTGATTGCTGCGGCGTATATTTTGGTATTGCACAGCCTAGCATAAAATATAATTAGAGATGCACAGGCTTTGCAGCACCATTTTGGAATCTGAAAATCAACTGTAACTGAAGTATGTTTTCCTTGAGCATACTAGTATCAGTTGGGGCTGATGAAATGATAATCAAAACAATGGGCTTTCCAATTCCACCACAGTAGAAACCCTTGGTTTCAATCTGATAGTCTAATATGGTAAGTTTATGAATTACTCTGTACTAGGCCTGGGAGCTGGAGGATGGCAAGTCTGAAGCTTGCACAACTCACTCAGATCTGTATCACAAGGAGCATACAAGTGAGGTAAAGAAACAATGATGAAAAATAAAGAGTTGCTGCTTTGGAAATGGAAGGATTGTTCCAGACACCCAGGCACAATGCACTGGTGTGCTGTAGCGCTAGCCTATCTCATCTCTACACTATGATACAATAAGATCACATTCATGCTCCTGGCTTGCAGATACAGATCATTAAAGCTGTACCTCATTGCAGATAAATTCAAAGATCTTATTTATAGGAAGCAGAGCCTGTTCCACACTCAGCTAGAAATTGGATGGTGGGGGTAGGGGGTGAAAGAGCCATCAGTACCTGTTTATGAAACCTTATGCTAACTGATAGCTAGAAGATATACACTTACTATTCTCACATGAATTAGTGCCCTTCAGGAATGCCCTAGCCTAACGTCACACCCACTCCCAATCTCAGGAACTTTCTCCATTAATACACTGCTTTGGTATCGTAGGGCTTCTGTCTCCCTCCAATCATCCAATGAGTAGTTCTGAAATGTGCTCACTTGGATGAGTCCTGGGCTAGGCCATTTCTGCCAGCCTGGAAAAAAGGGGAAAAGGCCATGTAAGCAATTGTGGATGTTCAAGGGAAACTATTTACGAGACCTCTTCATCTCCTGCTTTGCTTCTTTTTACACTCCATTCCTTCGAAGATCCTAAACTAGAACAGTTCATTAAAAGGTGAGAAGTCATGTTGGTCCCAGCCATGGATTTGTTACAAAACATAACTAGAGCTATGGCTTCATTTAGAGCAATTTAAAGATAGAAGGTTATGAGCTGACAGGACAAAGCCGTTAATATCGAGATAGGGGTTGGGGGAGGAGGACTATTTGGATGGACTGCTGTTTGTCTCTTCCATAAACAGTTGCTAACAAAGTATTAATAAGAAACCCCAAACTGATGCCAAAATTCACATCGTATATTAAGTGAGAATCTGCCCCATTAATATGTTAAAAGCTCTCTTCCCCAGGTTGGAGATTACATGTCTAAATCTTGTTCATACCTATGGGATTGGGCAAAATTTTCTCATGAAACTAAGAGGACAGGCCACAGAGTGTCTTGCAATCTATGCTGTTTGCAAGCGTCTTTCTCATGCATGATGTAAAAACTAGCAATAAAGGTTTATTCTCTCCTAGCCACCCCTACCTGTATCATCCTTTCTGGCTGTGGGGATTATTTGGTATAAGTGAACATGGAGCAAAGCTACCACTGAAAAAAATGGGCAATTCATTAATTCATTTCACTCACTGCTAAGAAAGCACGGTTAATACAGGTAGAAACGCGGTTGTGTTTTACCCTGGACATTCTATTTCAGATTCTTAGTGGAGTCTCACTGGTTATTAGCAGCAGCAATACTTTTAGGTTGCTGAGCATTTTTCTCTCCTTTGCCACCTTCCTCACCTAACTCGTAACAGCTCTCAAGAAAGATGCTGTTTCATGAATGGAGGTAAAAATAACCTTGAATATCTCAAATTATAGCCTCTTTACATAATGAAAAGGGAGTATTCCGGCAGCAGATTTTTTTTTTTTTTTTTTCATAAAGTTGTTCCAGCAATAATGCTTGTTTGGAAGTTTCTAAAAGTGGTAACATCTGTGCTCCTGCTGGCAGATGCCAGCCCACCAACCTTTCTACGGGCAGTTTGTCTTTGAGAGAAAATAAAGTACCTGATCCCAGGCCTTAGTCAGTCTCAGCTCCCTGTATCTTCTCACTCTGACCCACTGCGCGTTCCTTCAAGCAGAGAGCTGCCTCCCATGGCTACCTCCTCAATATAAACTTGCTAACTAATCTCTTAGCAAACACTTGAAGCAAACCTGAAGAGTGGAAAAAGAGGCAGAGGGGGAACAAAAACCAAGCACAGATAAAGCTCAAGACACATTCAACAGGACACTGGAATCTAAATTTAGTACCAAACTTAAGATTTTTTTTTGATGGGCAAGCTGTTGCCTCTGGAAAAGGGATTTTCATAACAATTATTTCATTTTTAAGTCTCAATCTTAATTCTGCTGCTATCTCTTAAATAGGGCTCCCTTTAACATAAACTCCCTTGATTTTTTTTTTTTTTCTGTTAGTGGTGATGTGCCTACCCTTACAGGTATTTGTAAATGCTTTCTTTTATTACTGAATATCTCTTTAATAATTTGTCATTTTAAAAAGTCTACTCTGACTGCACTATGTACACACAAGGTAACTCTTCCTTAGGAATTTATGTGACAATCCAGTGCTGGAAATAAATAATGACTTTCAACCAATGATCAAAGAAAAATAAATCTTTTATCCTAGTAAGACTTTTAAAGACTGGAATCCCATTTTTAAATGGATAACAGCTAAGAGGCTACTGGCAATCTATTTATTTCCAAAACTGTGTTTTAATGCTGGCTACACAGAAACTGGATGAGCAAATGGACCCTAGGGTCTTCAAAGTTAAAGCTTTTAAAATAAAGTTGGTATGTAGTATTTGAAAACATATTGTTCAGAATTTAAGTTTTAATATCTAGGAATAAACAGAGCATTAAATCAAGCAAAACTGTGACAAGGCCAATATGCACATGGATGATGCCAGCAAGGCATCTTCAGCCCTTTGTTCACAGCTTAACAAAACTGTGCCGTCACACCACTTTAGTTCAACAGTGCCTGTCGAATGGGCATCAGCAGATCAGCCAATGCCTGTCATACACAGAGCTAGAAGATGGTTTGAAAGCAAGGGCTTATTCGACCCCCAAGTCTACTTGGAAAGTGAGGAGGATTTTAAATCATCTAGTAAAAACACCAGCCCCCTCCCACTCCAAAGTTAGAAGAGACGGGGAAGGATGACAATTTTTTTTCTTAAAGACATCAAGGAGAAAAAATGTTCTCAGGCAAAGGAAACACTTTTCATATTTGTTTTCTTTGTAAAAGCAATTATAAAAGTTTTGCAATCATGGAATTTTTCTTAAAGTGACCTTGTTGAGACTAAAAGTTGAGTATCATAGATATTTTAAGGTTTTGCCACGCTTCTTGACCTTTTAAACAACTTAATACATGTTCTTATGTTATCAGGATAGAGGGCATTATTTGACACAGAGAACTGGCGAACCCATGTTATGCAAAGGAGTATCTCTTCAAATATAATTTTTGCTACTTGTACTGGATTTTTGTTAGCCAAAATGCATTAGCTTTTTAATGGACAGTCCCCTGAGCTCTAGTCTCTGTGAACATTTAATCTGCTCAGAAGAGAACCCCCGAGAAAACAAACCTGGTAAAGAGAGGGATTGTTCACTTTCCTACAAGTTAACAATTAGAAAAAAAACCCAAACCACCTTAATTTCCTCCTATAACACTGATCATGAGATTTGGCTTTCAAGCTTTAATAAGTGCTGGGGAGGTGCCTCGGAACTTTCCTTCCGTTTAATTAAGTGTGCCCACTCCTCTTTAGGCATCCAATCAGATTAAGTGAGAGCAAACCCACGGAGCAAGGCTGGTGAGCCCTAGTGGTAAGAATTAGTTGAAGGTGTGCTGAATCCCAACCTTTCAAGCTCCTTCAGGATACGTGCTGCTGAGATCAGTACAGAAGCTGAGATTTCCCCGCACACTAAAGTTGAAAAGCTCTCGCTCTCAACCTCCCCCCGCCCCTCTGTCTTTCACTCTGCTGCTGTCAGTTTGCTGCCTGTACTTTGGCTGTCTCTTTTCCAGTCTCTACCCTGTGAGTTTCTGGCCTGCCAATTTCAACTTGAAGCTTGACTGGGCTGATTTGATGCAAATACCTCCAGGGAAAACCCTGAAACTGATGAACAGTTATGTCAAGTCGATTTTGCACCATCGGGAAAAGGTAACCTCTGCGAGAAAAAAAAACAACAAGGTTAAAGAGACAAGGGCTTTTCACGTGTAATACCTCTGCTGCACATCTCGTTCACTGTTTACCATCCCTCAGAAATTGTAACTGTCAGAATTAGTCCTAATTGCAGATGCGAAAGCTGCCATTATAATAAAAACAGAGGCAGTGCAGGCATTAAATGTAGCAGCCTAATTTGTGAGACTACAGAAAAGGTAGAGTAAATGAATATTTCATTACTTTAATTACCAGTGACTACTCTTTTCTTGCTGTCTTATGATAAGTGTTGCTGTAACTAGCAACAGCAAACATCCACTAAAACATAAAGTGCAATAATCGTCCTGCTGTCAGGATCACCACTTTAAAATACGAGCAGGGAAAAAATATAATGGTTTATCTATTTCTTAGAGATTGCAGAAGTAGAAGATGGAAATTCATTTAATGTCAGGGGAAAAAAACGCACACACAAAGGCACCAGTAAACAGGTTTTAGTCAGAGAATAATGGCTCCGAGAGAGAAGGAGGAAAAAAACCCCAGTTGACTATACATTTGAAATGTTAGCCCTAAAAAAATGCTAGAAAGTGAAAAGTAGGAGGTAATAGTGTTTGGATTTTTTAAGGCAAAATTTTGTTTGTGTTGCACAATGTAATTGCTTGAACATTAGAAAATAAAACTCAAGCGACTAGGGGAAAGACAAGGAAAGCAAGTGGTTTTCAAGTGATTAAGCAAAGGTGGAAAAAGTTCAAGTTGGCAAAAGTTTAGAAGCTCAGTCCAGTTCCATTTAAAAAGACTAGATAAAGCCTGCCAGAAAAAGGACTTTGCCTGCAGTTTCAGAGTACTGATTCATAAGATTTGGGGAGTATCAACAATTACCACTGACACTTTAAAAAATCCTGGGCAACTCTATATAAATGTCAATTTCAGGTAAAGGGGCAAAGTGAGGTGGGAGGTGGCTGGATTGTGGGAGGTGGGAGGTGGGCTGGGAGTGGGGGTGTGGTTGAGGAGATTGCTGAGACTGGTTGAAGCCAGCCTGTCTCTGCATTTATCACTCTGTCCCAGAGGAGGTGTTTGTTCAACATAGCAGTTTGACAGCACAAAAACACTGTGGCCAGAAGCCCTATCAAAGAACCTACTGACACGTATCATTTGTGGTCTTGGTTTCACAGGGCAAGGCTACCTCACAATTATCTGCACAAGTATAAAACTCCACATATTTCTCAGTGTTCAGTATAGTTTTAAATCTCCCCCCACCCTTTTTTCTTCTAAATATTGTAAACACTACTTTAAAATGCTATCTTTATTCAGTACTCCAGAATGCTGTTTTTAAAACCATAACAATTTGCAATCAGTTTAGGATAATCTCTGTTAAGGTTGGTAATACTGAAGGGAAATGGGGGAAAACATTACAAAAGCACAAAGCTAGTAATTTATCCTAAATAATACACTTAAAGCTTAGATTAATAGGTGTAAGTTTCATAAGAGTCATGTGGCATAGGGAACACATTTTTCCCCTACAATAAATCCTACTAAACAAGAATCTACATTAATTCTTCGCCTCTACTATTTTTGTTTAAGTGTATTTCATTCACAAGCCAGACGATTGTAGTGAAAGTTAAAGAGGAAAATTCTCAGAGTTTGGATCCTAGGGTGCATTTGTGTTTGTGTGCATGTGGGAATGTGTGCACACGGGCTGTATTTAGTTTTCAAATTCCCATCAGCAGAGCAAAGGTGATGGGAAATCTTTAGAGGACAACCATTTTGCTCAGAGATGTTTCCCTCTTAATGGGTCTATTTATTATGAAAACACAGCTTACTGAGTTCCTTATATACAAACCTCACCTCTTAAAACTGAGAATTCTCATGATGTGAAACACTTCCATTGATGTGCATGGTGTCTAAAATAGAAACTTAGGTACTTCCAAGAATAGGCAATTGCAATTTCTTTGATTACGGTTACTTGGATATACAAGACAATAAATATTTTCTTAAACTAAGAAACAGTGAAAGCTATATATTACATTTATAGATCACTTGGGCACTGAATTCCTTGAAATTTACTCATCCATTCGAGAGAAAAAAAAAACCTCAGATTTTATATAGCACAATATTTTAATCTGTCCATCTATTACAGATTATTTCTTATTTGGGGGGAGGGAGTAGCTATCCCCTTGTCAGGAGTACCTTTCCTAGAGTTAATTACTATAAAAATAATAAGAAACAGTATATAGAGAACAAAAATCACTACGTTGTCATATGGGCAATGTAACTATTAAAGAGGAATCCATTACAGTTGTTTTTTTTTTTAAATGTAGAATACATTTTAGGAAATCAGGAATGACTACCTATTCCCAAAAGAATGTAGTCATCTCCTCTCTCACCTGAGACTATATTAAAATGTTTCCATCTTGCTTTATCCTGAAGATTTAAAAATATACCTTCATATATTTATGATGCATAAAGTTCGCCAACTGACCAGTTCTGTGTTTACTGTTTGATTAAAAGAATATCTTCTTGTACACAGGATTTAAAATTTTAACTTCAAAAGATTCAAGTGCAGAATTAGACTTCTTCTAGTTTATAGTAAAGTGTTGTGTGGGTTTAAGATGAAATCACACACAGCAACCAAGAAAAATTTAGAACGACTTAAAAATGGATTAGGTACAATAGAATATGACATTTAATTCCATAGATTATAGGAAAAGTTATTTGGAGTCTTAATTTTATAGCAGTGTTAAATTAAAAAGGAAGAAAGTGTGAAAGGTAACCTGAATATGCACACTAACAGTTTCATATTGTCTTCTAGTTCTAACCACTACTTCAAATCCCAATCCCTGGACCCAGCTCAGTAACAGAACTAAATTTGTAAATAATCATGAATCATTATGATGATTACATTTCTCAATTGAAAAATGAAAGCAAAGTACAATCAGACCCTTCTTGAAACATTTGCTTCCCTTACACTCTTAATGTGTCTGTGCTGCCTGCTCTTCCAAAGTCTGGTTTTTAGAAACCCATATTAATTTCCAACCAAGGCTGCAGCACCCATTGTAAATGTACATGGCTTTATCAGCTCTCATAGTTTCTTGGGTCACAAACGCATAATATCTGATGACACAGTGATCATCTTCCTTCTCCTTTCTCTTTTCAGCTCCTCTAACTTTCCTGTCAGAAGCCTGAAAAAATATGCGCAGTTACTGTTGCTGAGGGGAGACAAAGTTTAACTTCTGGGTTGGCAATCGGAGAATAATTCATGAGCAGATTTCTAGCAAATGATATGATTTGCTAAATTTTGGTCTTTGATTTATATTTATGTACTCCTGCTACTGCTAAGGTTTTGCCAACCTCAATTAGATCATGAATGAGATCATTTTAATTCAGCCCCCAAACTGTGACCTGACCATGGTCTGAAAGTGTTCAAAAAGTAATTTTAAGCCTCCCTTTGATTTGAAAAGGAATACTGCATGCTTGGTCGTTCATACAAATAACATAAAACTTAATTATTGGATGATTTGGCAGAGGACCTTCTTGCCAAACAACAGTCAATGCCAGCTACTGTGATGCTGGCGCTGCCCGGGCCCCCGAGCCCACAGCCCCCTTGCATACGGGCATTTGTTCATTGTGTCTTAGGGCAGGATGCTTTCAAATAGGATTCACGGATCTGGGAGGCAGGGTGCAACTTGAAGGGTGTACCATATTTATAACTCCAGTTTAAAAATGCTGTCTCACCTAGAAGGGAAGTAGATCTGCGCTGTCAAATCACCAGGAGGCTGTGACAAAGGGAGCTTGCAGCCTGACACACGGTGTAACAACATAGCAAACACCTTTAATTCCGTCATGTCTCATACCCTTTACTTTCTCACACATTTGTGGCTGCTCGAATGTTGACACCTACACTCTTTTTTCGAAACTAAATAAGGCAATCTTATTTAAGCCCAAATGCAACACCTGTAAAGTTATTCTTGTGCCCAGCAAAAAATAACCATTAACTCCTTCCTCATAAATGTCTCTCTGCTTGCTTTGGAAAGTCTCAAGCTGGTAACGGCCAGCCTGAGGCCCTGACTCTGAGGTTCACATGACCTCCCAGCTTCGGACAGATAGGCAGTATTTCCCCCTTGAAAAGATGTGAAGGCTGAGATCATATCACTGTCCAAACTGGCTTCTTACAGCTTTCAAGTTGAAGCCCCTTTCTTCATCACAAACTTCTGGTGTCTTTTATAGGAAGGAGAGAGGCCCCAGCTGCTTCATTCCCTCTAGCTACCGTAGTCTAATATTTTAAAAGCTAGAAATGAAAATAGCTTTTCTAAAGATATTTCCTGGAATTTTTAATGTGCTGCCTTGATTCCTTTTTTCTATCTTTTTTTTTTCCTTGCCAATTATAAACCACCATTTGGAGGGCTTATGAGCAATGTAAGTCCACCTCATCTAATTAAACCACATTGTTTTAAAAGCTTGAACAGTTTTCATGCCTATAAGACTTGTCTGAATAATAAACTGCTAGAGCCAGAATACTGAGTGTCTTTGGAGAGCCAGGATTTTATCTGCTGAGCGCAAGGGGCCAGGCACTCAAAGAGTTAAAGAGTGTTCCCGCATTGCTGGGTAGGTTAATATCACAGCTGCCTGGTAAAGCATTATCCCGGTACCTCACTTAACAAAAGCCTCCTTTTGCAAACAGACTCCCACTTTCCCCCCAAGTGTCCAAAGGTGTTTACTGAAGTAAATCTGCCTAAATCCTTCATTGCTTGGGTCATGGGGGTAGCTAGGAGGGGTGGAAGGTGTAGGGATAATCTCTTTTTGTAAATTCTGTAAATCTTCTGGGAAAAAGAAAAAAAAAATCAGGAATCTGTGTCACATGTTCGCATACAACTTCTAATATATCCGTTAGTTTTGCTCTTAAAAGTGAAATCTGCCACAAGGACTATTGGAAAAGCCCCTGTTTCAAATCATTCACTCTGCTGTTGGAAGAGATGGCACTTCCAAAGTTGTGTGTGTGTGTGTGTGTGTGTGTGTGTGTTTGCGCGCGCGCGCGCGCGTGTGTGCACATGTGGTGCATGTGTGTGAGAGCATTGTATCCTTAATCTAATTGTTGGGAGAAAACTGGCATCTCAAAAGTGGTTTCAGAAAGGGGAAGAAAAAGACAAGACAGTCTAGGAGCAAGATAATGTCGCTGAAAAGTTGTCACGAGAGGTTTCTGCTCTGGCTGTGGTCTCATTCCCATACCATTAACTGCATGTTACTTTTGCATGTTGAAAATGGTGGCAAATGACACAGTAAAACCTGACAGGTCTGCCTGCGAGGGTTTAAACAGTTCCCAGGAAGAAGGGGCCTTTAGGCACAAACTTTCTCTCACAAGAGAACGTGAATACCACCAACCCCTCCCTACAAATCTTGAAGCATCCAGTTTGAGATACAAAAAGGCTGTCATCTCACAAATGTTAAACATACTAAAAAAATCTGAAAAAAAAGTATGGAGAAGGTGTGAAAAACGTGGCACTTTACAGCCCTCAAAGCTTTTTAAAATAGCACAACTTTTCCCCCTAAAATTCTTTTCAGAGAATTTTTTTTTTCCTTTTTGGCTCATTTGAGAGTTTCTTCTTGGCTTTTTTCCCCTTTCATTTGAAAATATGAATTATCATAAAAAGTCAGGGGGAAAAATGGGAAAGTCTTTTCCAGTTTTCCTGAGGATTTATCAGTGTGTTCAGCCTGGGTGTGAGCACCCGTCACTGAAATCAGACCAAGGGGCCCAGTCTGCAGCTCGCCTGTCCCTCCCACGCCCAGGGCCCTCACCTCTCTGGTCCGCTGGTAAACAATCAGACTTATTAAAGCCAAATCGCAGGCAGCACTCAAAGGCGGGAAGTCCACACACCTGACCCCAAATCTAACAGGCTTCTGGGGGAGAACTGGATCCCCTCCTGACACTTTTTACCTCAAGTGTTGAGCGGGTGGCCATGAATAGTACAGGCATGCCATCTTGTAACACTATATGCCTGTCAGGAGGGACAGGGCCTGGTGGAGCATCAGCTATATAAGGCTGGTAACTAGGGGAAGCCCAACAAACAGCCACAAACACCTAAGTTATTTTACTCAGCCACTACCCTGTGCCTGCGCCTCTCTCTCTCTCTCTCTCTCTCTCTCTCTCTCTCTCTCTCTCTCTTTCTTTTCATCTTGGCTTTCTGTGGCAGAATGCAAATGGAGCCTGCCGGCGGTGAAAGGGCTGAATTGTGATTAAGAAGAAGAAGAGCTCCTTTCTTTGTTCTCCCCTCAGGGGATGTTTACTGGGAGAGACACAGCGGATCAGATATGAAAGGCATTCAGGTCAGCATTGATGTGAGCGAAAGTGAAATCATACCTAAGGCATTGAAAAGACCGCCGTGTCAGAGGTTCAGCTAACGGTGCAGCTACTGTGTGTGTGTGTCTTCCCGGAGAGGCAAAAATCTTTTCACAGACTGGCGATTTTTCCCCTCTCAAATTTACTACAAAATTATAAAACTTTCCCCCTCCCCCGTTTGCCTCCCACCAGATGACCCAAGAGTTGGTATTTTCTCTCTTCATGGACCACACGCGAAATCAGACCAACTTCTAATAACTGTGTTTCCTAAATGAACCATCAAGGCACCATCTGAACTGTGATTTTCTTTTAAACAGGTGTATTCATGTAGGCTACATATATGTGTAATATGTAGGGCAGAACGAATAGAAGATAAAAGCCAAAAGACACAGGCAGGGATGGGTTCTCCTCTTACCTCCCTCAGAGGAAACACAAGACAACACACACACACATGCACATACACAGTATAAAAACACTACAGAACACCTTAAAACGAAATCCTTTATTTACTTTGTAACTACTAGTTACACTTTTCCTGAGAGCTTTTGCTCTGACACGACTGTCACCCAAGATAAAAGTATTTGGCACATAGCTATGAAGGCAAAGGCTTCCATGTAGCCTACTGATTATTATCGTTTTCCTTTTAAAAACTGCTTGATGAAGAAATACTTGGATCTTACTTTTTAAAAGTTTACACTCCCCACAGCCCAAATAGTCATTCAATAGATTTTCCAAGTGGTAAGCTGATGCTGTTGGCATAAACAGAGCTATGTAAATATATACAAAATTCACAATCACAGCAAACATACAAATAATGAGGAGGTGCCTAGATGTTTCAAGGCTTAAAAATGAAAAGGAAAATTACATTTCACCTTCTGATTGCTAAAGACAGAAAAGAAATAAAGAGGGGGAATAGGGCTATACTTATTGGTTTAAATCATCCTTCCCTCTTCTCTGAATTATTTTTTTTCAACCTTCACATCTTGGCTAAAAAGCATATTTGGGCTTATGTTAACATCTGCTTTTGTGGTGACATTTAATTCTGTATATTTTCAACTAGTGTTTCTGCATCACAGATTTTCCTCCTTTATCTCTTTGCTCTGAAAAGACAACCAAAGAGCAATCAAAAAGGTGTCTGACTTGGCCATTCAGACAATTGCCCCCTTGTGGGAATGTGGGAATGAATGGTACAGTGGACACCCCAGCACCATTGACGTTATAAACATGTAAATGAAACACATTAGGGCAGACAATCAATTGTCTGTGAGCATTGCAAACCTGCACTCCCTCTCTCTGTGACAGGCACAAAATAGTGTCTACCTTGGGAAGCCACGGTGCTGGAGAGGAAAAGGACAAAGAATTTCCTTTCACACAGAAGAAAATGCACCTTAAAAGCCTTGGAAGAATGCAGATGACAAAAACTGTTGCAAGGAAAAGAATCTCCCACATCTTAGAATAAACGCGGCACTGCTAGAGAGGCTAGCAACTCCCTCCTTTCCTACCTTCGGGGTAGACACACATTTTTCCCAGGAAATAGACTTAACATGGCATTAGGGTCTTTAATAACCTCTTAGAATTTTCTTTAAGCAAATTAAGGAAAAAGGGAAACACTGAAGCCTATGACATAGCAGTTGAGCAGGGAACTTTAATCTTGGTTTTACCCTATTTGAAAACACATGCTTGAAGATGTGAATTTATTTGTATTGGGCAACAGAGAAACAATGCAAAGTTTAAAATCCTCAGCTCAGCCTTACTACTGGTAGACTGTCACCCTATGGACACCACCAGCCTACTGGCTCTGCTACGAAGGAAAGCATGTTTCTACCCCAATAGACTTAGCTTTTCCAGACCAAAATAAAACAAATAATACCGCCTTAGATACGTAGCCCCCCAGCCTTGTGTGTGTGCACCATGACAAAACTTGCAGAAGATCTCCACAGAGAAAAAAGGATGGAGATGGATATCTTTGGAGTGCCCTCAGAACTGGTACCTGCCACACAAGCTGCCCGAGTGCTCTGAGAGTCAGCAAAACAGGCTCCCTATAAGCTCATCAACTTTACGAAGAAAGCTACTTGCCAAAGATTTCCACACTTTGCAAAGATAACCAAGTCTGGACTGACTGTGATCCGAAGGAAACTTCCCTGCCTAAGTGTGTGAGACTCTTGTTGCTCCATCCCAACTTCACCTCTCAGGGAGGAGAGCTAGGAGTCACCTTCTGGAGAAGGGGTTGACTGCATTTTCTTTCCTTTTCATTTAAGCATCTCTGAAACGGGAGCAACTTCTCCGTCCCTCATTGCCTCTAAGCATCACCAGCAGCACCTCCATTCCTTTAAGGAAGTGGTAAAGAGTGAGGGCTTATTTTAAACAGGGATAATCATTTCTGCTCTTCTGATTGTTTCTCCTCTAGGATCCAAAGCCCTGAGAACATTTAACTTGGTCCCTGTTCTTTGCCACTGAAAATCAGAGACCAAAGGCATTTGTAAAAAGCCCCTCTTCTCCTTCACACTGTCCCCAATCTTTTAATGGAAACTCTGGAGAAAAATCAAATTTAACTTTTCTTTCCTTCTCTTATTTCCTTTTTCTCTTCTCCTAATTCAGTTTTCCTTGAAAAGACAACTTTATTCCTTTCTCTGAAACAAGCAGTTTCCGGATTTGATTTTTGCTACAACGCGCATGTGTCTGTGAGATTTTTCAGAGGCTGATGCTGGAAGGTGGCGGGCTGGGGAGGCAGCCCCTCTTCCTGAGCTCCGTGGGAGGCAGGAGGGGAGCAGGAGCATCCCAGGACCCGCTGCCCGAATCTGGGGCAAAAGCAACAAACTTTGCAAGTTACAAATGGGCCGCACCGGTGGCAAGCAGCAGCAGGGCATCTCCCGCTCCGAGAGCTCATTTCTGACTCCAAGGCTGTGTGGAGATAGTGGGGTATAATCAGGGGAAAGGAAAAGGGGGGGCTGGGTTTCCCCCTCCTCTCCAGCTTCAGTGAAAGTGTTACAAAGTGAGTCAGGCGACAGGATCATCTGACTGAACTTTCTTGAAACCGACACACATTCTTGTCTGCGGGCAGCTCGCTTTTTGCCTCCTTCCCCCTCACCCCACTCCCTCTTTCCTCCTGCACATCTTATTTTCTGGGAAGAGATTTCATCCCTTCCATGTGGGGGAAAGGAGACTAACTGCCTGCTATGGGTTAACTTGGCCCTGGCACTGCCTTTGCCAGGCATCTTGCTAGCCTGAGAATCTGGAAGGTTGTATTTTAGGTACTTGTTTCTCTCTTTGTACATTTCTTTTCCTTCAACTGCCTCCTTCTCCTTTGCTTTTTAATAAATGTACACAGCATTGTCTTCTAACCCACGTTCTTGACCGGCCTTACACACACACACACACACACACACACACATACACACACACACACTGCTTTACACATTTTATCTCCTGTCGCCTTAGTCTATATATACACTGTTGACTTCATTAAAATTATATAAAGTGCCATTCTAGGTTCCTGGATGACCATCTTTTCTTTTTTTTTTTTTCTTGCAGCTTCTACTTCTATGATTATTATTGCCATTATTTCTTTCCAGGAATTTCTATATGATTTTGATAAGCATCATCATATTTAGTGTTATCAGCAAAGACACAAGCTCAAAAGTGACATCTTTTCCATGCATCCAGGAAAGAAGAAAAATCCACTCAGTTCAGATAAATCCTAGCAATTCCCAAAGGGAGAGGCATTGGATACGTGTTTGATGAGAAAGAAAATGAAAAAGAGGTGGGGGTGGTAGTACACTACCTGCTTCTCAAAACCAGAACATTACTCAGTCAGATTAAACCCAATGAAAAACACTGACAAGTAACCAATATACAGCATGTTTTCCCATAGATTATTTGGAAAAGGAGACAGGTAACAGTCAAAGTTAGAGAAGCTGTAAGCAAAAGACAAGCTTGATGTTAAGTGTGTAGGATCTGGACTAAACGCCTTAAAATGTGCAATTCAACTTTCCACTTCGGAATGTGGAGGCTTCTCCCAAGTTAGTGGCGGGGTGGAGGGGAAATGGTTGCAGTGTACATGACTGCGGACATCTCTGGCACTTCATTCCACCTGCGAAGCCCCCAACCGGCCTCCCTCTATGCCAGGTCCCCCAGGGGTTCCCAGGAAGCCGGGATCCCTCTATTTCCTTAGACCTGGGCTCTGGCCTGACCTCGCTGCTGGGGCCAGGCTGGTGATCGGTGGCAAAATCCCGAAGGAGGTGGAAGGAGGAAGGCAAGAAGAAACGCACACTTTAAATAGTCTTCCCTGCAGAAGAATACTTCTGGGAGCCTTGTTTTAAATCTCATTCTCTTTTCTCTCAAAA